TTTTAGATTGTAAGTCATGTCGGTTTAACTGGAAAAAACGTCTTTTTCAAAATAGATTTCAAAATGGATATAATAAGTGGTAATTGAACTTCGTGTCGTGCAATTTTGGTCTGAAATCAAACTTGCAATTACAAATCGCACTCCCGCTTCGCGGTCGTGCGATTTTGTAATCACGCGTTTGATTTCAGACCAAATTGCACTCCACTCAGTTCGATTACCATTATTTAGCACTGTGATTTGGAAAAAACCACCGAGTTGAGCCAACCAATCAGAATCGAGGATTTTTGATGGTCATCTTATTAATTCAAGAAATATCTTACCATTCACCTATATACTTCATGTAGAATCAGTACTKAAAGTATTGTCGAAGGGTTCAAGTGCACTTTAAAAAATAGAATATATGCAAGGACCCTAAAATAGCAGTGAAACCATCATTAGTCGCCACATAAGACAGTGTTTTTAAGTCAATGGACCGGGAAAAAAAACTCTTTTAAGAAGCATTCTTTTCTGATTACAAAACCAGAACATTCTAGCTTGTACTGATTTATTCAGTTTCATTATCATAATCTCTATTTCAAAAAGCTAAAGGATAGAATTTACTACATAAAGGACACTCGATCGATCCGCGGAACACATAAAGTATTTTGGTCACTTTTATTGGCTCCTTATAAATAACTTTATAGTGCATTAATAGTTTATAGCCAATAAAATGAAATATAACGTAGTAATAATGTATAATATCAGCAACCCCAACCCGCTGTAGTACTGAATCATATTGATCTTTTCCTTTTTTCAAAGCCTTCATGAACAAACTAGTCACCACATGAGGGCCCTTGAAGTGTTTTTAAGTCAATGAACCGATACAAATCTCCTTTCACAAGTCAAGTTATTTTCTGATCCGTGAAAACCAAGAACATTTCAGATTTTAATGATTTATCCAGCTTTAGGGACCGATGGAATTCCAGGGGGCTACAATTGTCAAAATCAATTGATACACACACACATACATACAACATTACTCAAGCTTTTTGATCTCCGCTATCTTTTACAGTAAGGACACTCGATCGATTCGTGAGCCAATCATCTCTTGAGCGTTGTACTTGAACTCAATGCTTTGTTTTAGAGGGTTGTTTGAAACAGTTGGAAAGTTCAGGAAATAATAAGCGGAAAAAAAGTCGAAGACGTGGACGGTTCACGGTTCAAGTGCCCTCGCTGTAAGAAGTAAAAAAGGGAAACAGTTCCTTCCCTGTATTAAATCGTTCAATGCATGTTGTTGTTGTTTTCAAAACAGAAGGAAAATCAGGCTAGTTCCGCTTACTAAAAAAATGACATCTTCTTTTCAGAAAAGAAAAGAAGAAGAAGAAGAAGAAGAAGAAGAAGAAGAAGAAGAAGAAGAAGAAGAAGAAGAAGAAGAAGAAGAAGAAGAAGAAGAAGAAGAAGAAGAAGAAGAAGAAGAAGAAAGCGAAACAAACGTTCAAGCATTTCATCTGGTTAATTTTGAATAGTACATGAATTAAGGACTGTGCCTACTAATTGAGAATCTATTATTTTTTTAAATGAGTATGTGAATAAATTATTTTAACCTATCAAAGGGTGATCAAATTCTGGTTAGAAAAGTAGGGGTCACCATGCATTTAAAAGAAATAATAAGGCTTAAAAATCGTTAAAAAGTGATGACGTCATGATTTTACTAACACCAGGAAAAAACTTTTTTTCAAAAGATTTTGAGAAATATCTAATTTAAATCGTCCTAAAATATACCCAATTCTACCATGATTTTAATAGTTGGCTATAATGTATATAATTTTTTAGCTTCGTGCTCCCTATTTTCTATCAGTAGGTACATAAAGATTGTGTCCATATTCTTTTCAAAACCAATTATTTTTTATACATTTCATTTCACGAGGCTAATTTAGCAAGTTTTTTTACCGGATTTATGTATGCACTCTAGTGAAACGATCTAATTGCTACCAATTCGCAAAAAGTGAAAATTTCCTCAGTTTCACCTTAACGAGACAGCAGCATGTTGGCTTTTCTTGATACTATCTTCATTTAAAACTCTAAAACTTTACTGTGAAAAGAATACTTTCGTTGAATTATGGACTGATAAAAAAAAATTATCGTGCGTCACAGTTAAGTTTTTAAATGTTAAAGACTGACTCGTCATGCACGTACGGGCAACATTTACTGTCAACAATAAACTCACCATGAATAATAGCTTAATGACATTTTTAAAATAATAAACATAAAAATCGGATATTCAGGCCAATGAACATGACGACTATGGAACCCCCGCTAGGTTCAATCCATCGTTTCATGCATTTCAAATTCATGACCTTTTTTAGAAAAAAATATCGAATATTTAAACTAATCGATATGATCAATCAGGCCATATTGTTGAAGTCCTAGCATTCCAGTACAAGATTTGGCGATTTCATCACGCTATCCAGTGGTATCTATTTTCAAGCGGAAAACCGAATAAAAAGTATTTTATATACATATATATTATTGTTATTTAGATATAGAGTCATGACTTTTGGAAATCGAGATTTTGTAGATGGAATGAAAGAGTTAAATGACCTTGCTAAACTACTAATAACTGCACGCCCTGATAGTCACAAACGACAATACGGCTCACGATTATGCTACGAACAACAATCTATGAAAAAAACTAGTTTGATATATTATTTTGAAAGCATTCGTAAATCAAATGAGTTTATATAGGACAAACCCACATTGAAACTTAGAAATGACATGATTTCAAAGAACCATTCCAATAGATAAGCAGTTCACGATCCAATTCTTTTCTTTGAAAATATATTCTTGCTCAATAGAATACATAAAAAGTACAAAAAATAGGATATAATTAGCAGTGGTTGCTATTAGAAGGAATTTAAAGGAAATCTACGACGATGAGCAATGTGAGCCCGCGGAACTTAGCGTCAGTGAGCGTTAACGTGTCAGTTGACTACCGACTCTATTGAAAAACAAATTTTAAGAAACAAACAAAACAAACAAAAACAAAAACAAAAAAAACAAAAACAAAAAAACAGAGAAAAGATAAAAAGCTTGANTTTTATTCAGTTTATCGTGATATTTTGGTCTGACACACATACAAAAAAAAAAAAAAAAAAAAAAAAAACAAAAACAAAAAAAAAAAAAAAAAATCGTAAAAGGCAGATACGAATGAATATTTGTCAAAGTTCTTATCCCATAAACCAATTGTCTGAGGAGTTATTTAGTGATTTAATGTTGGTAGAATGTGCGTGTTCGTCACGCTGGTGGTTAACTTGATAGTAGACGATTTACATAAATCATAAGTCTTACCTCTAAGAATATCATAAAACATTTTTGGGTTTAATAGAGTGCAAACAATCAATCCGTGAAACACTAATTACTAAATAGTGCAAAATAGTGCTAATTAAACAATAGAAAACAAAATGTGCATGAAATCGTGCTTCTTTGTTGTTCAAAATCAAACTTTGGATATTTCGAACTTTATTTTCTCTAAGTTAATTCCTTTTTTCATTTCAGATTTAAATTAGACAACTGTTTTTTGTTTGTTTTTTGTTTGTTTTCATTTCAAGACTTTTGAAATGGAACATGCACAAATGAAAATTTAAAAAAAGTTATATATTGATGTCGTCGGGGGGGCTATTATCAGGATTATTGGCTTCGAATGAATAAACAAAAATGTAATTATCTTTTATACTCTTATGTTTCACAGATTCCTGCCAACTCGTTTTAAAAGCGTCATTAATCAGTTTTAAATACTGAATTGTTATTTTTTCGTCTGATAGTAAATGAATAAAAATGGATTGATCCTAATGTAATACTTACTTACTGCGGTTTTCCATATTCTACGAACTCAGACATTTCAACGGCTTGTTGTGAAATGGGTTTTTTAATGCCGCCAGTCAACAACTTATAAAAGGTACCGACTGATTGTTTGTGATTGACAGCAACGAAAAAAAAAAAATTCAGCTTGCAGTTCGCAACTAACGAGTTCGCAGAATATGGAAACCGCAGTAATGTGGGTTTTTTTTTTTTTTTCTTCTAATTTGCATTGTAAAATGTATATTAAACATTACATTCAAAGTGGAATCCTTAGAAAGCCCACAAAAGTAGTTGCTGTACGCAAATTTGATAATCATTATGACTTTTTTCTTACAATTCTGTAAGCGAAAACCCTAAAGATATTATTTCTTTATTTGGATTAATCAGAATATTTTTTTCAAACTTCAGCTAAACTCTTGCCTGAAAAAAATTTTTTTTTTCTGGATCGTGAGGCAATGTGATTCATAAATCCACAAATTCAATTCATTGTGTAAAACTCATTGTTTTTTGGCGTCTTTAAATAAAGTGTTTACTTTGAATAAAATGGAGTCAAACAACTGTGTCCAGACTTTAAAGATTTTTTAAAAAAACGTGTGAGTCATGGAGACAGATTGACCCGCCCCTTTTGTGACGTGTCATGTTCCTGTTCCTATCTGATGTCATAAATAGGGAGGACTTTGAACAACTTCATCATTGGGTTGTAACTCCCGCTGCAGACGAGTCAAAAACTTAGTGCTAAAACCATGAAGATTTATCTGATCGCAGCCTTGTTCCTGGGTGCTCTTGTGGTGGCTCATTCCTTTGAGGAAGACGAAAAGGTTGAGCTCCCTGAGGTACCTGAACAAGAAGAACAATCTGACGAGGGTGAGTTTAAAATTGAATTGTGTTTTTAAACAGTGCACCCACACACAATACAGACTATCTTAGTCCTGTTTGAACACCCATCAAGACACGCAAGCGCTCATAATTATTGCCTCAGTTTGCACGTTAAATGCAATGCCTTCAAAAATGATAAACAAAACAAAAAAAGATCAAAAATTTTCGAACATTTGTTAAATTTGAAACGCACTGTATTAGAACGCTCCGCATTAAAATGTAAAATAATTCTTATCTGTTCAGTGCTGAAAGGTTTAATTTGAAACAATCAAGCGTGAAAAATTTCCTGCACGGATGCTCATCGAGGTTACAGACTACTTAAGCATGCAATAATTAGAAAACTTTCTTAGAAAAATATTTGATAGTAATGTTTTAAATACGAGCTGCTTTATTCTATTGGGGTTTCAAAATCCGAGTGCAATGTCAAATGCAGAATTTAAAATACAGTGACGAGTATTTGACACGACATCTTATACTCTTTTTGTTATGTTTGGTTATATTTCAAAGTTCTAGTACTTTGAAATGGGTGCGGTAGTATTTGATGGGGGTTTCAAACGACTGCACGTGGTATAAATAAGAAACCCTAGTTGGTCGATGAGCTCATGACTAGTTAAGGAGCATAAGATAAATATTTTATATTGAATTTAGCGCTGATTCGAAATGTGAAAAGAAAACTGAATGCGGTCTCCCGAGCTCGTTTTCGAGATACGTGAATTTATATTATAGAATATTACCATCTTGTCAAGTTTTCGAATGAAAAATGGCGAAAACGAAGCAATTATCTCAGAACGTCATTATCTGCTCCAAAAAACATTTTTGATAACTTAAATTTAAAATATTTAGAGAAATTTGGGAATAGGTTCAAAACTCAGCATTTCGTTTGTTTAATGAACAAAAAAAATTGTTACCCAAAAGGTGACGAACTTTTTAAAAACGTTGTCAGTCTGAGATCTGAAATGGGGGAACTGAGACTCAACGGAATTTCTGAGCTTTTCTGTTTTCTGGTTAAAATACGAAAATATCACATTTCTAACTCAAAGTTAAAACAACAATTTGAAGCGTGCTACTTGGTCTATCAGTGTCAGATCTCCAACTAACACTGTTTTTTTTCTTCAACTAGTTGTATAAAGAGAGTAAGTACGAATAAATGAAATATTATTTTAAATACGTTAATTGTTTTCTTTTTCTAGAAGTGAACACTCTTCCAGGTACCGAAGAAGACACTCAAGGTATCTTAATTGAAATATATATATATATATATTTCAAAAAATATATATGTGTGTGTGTGAGGTGTGTGTGTGATGTGTGTGTATGTGTGTGTGATGTGTGTGTATGTGCTTAAATAAAGGTTGCTACTATCATTGATTGGACCTCTTTTGTCTTTTTTTTTAAAGAATCAAGAGACGAAGAAGTTGAAGATGAACAGCAGGATCCAGAGAAAAGAGCATTTCCGAAGAATGTCTTGAGCTATTACAGTTGTTTTCAGATCAAACGACGAGGATATTGTGGACATCTATTCCTCAGGAACCTTTGCGCTGCCACCTGCTATAGTATGTTTGATTTGAATCGAATTTCATTTGATTTGATTTTACTGTGTTATGTTGATCGTGCAAACTTTAAACATCAATTGTCTCATTGGCTTCAGGGTTTCATCCAAACGATCCCTGCAGGAAGTATGCTGTCCTAAACCAACTGAACCGAAGACAGTCCAGACCCAGGGGAAATGCACGGCCGATTTGCGACCAGAAAGGCTTTGCCACCCGTTGGTATCGATTCACGGGTCTTGCAGGTAGAGGAATGCCAACCAGTGCTCCACCTAAAAATCGCTGTGGTACCCATGCTCCTGGTTGGATGGTGGGACGTTACCCTGCATTTGGACAGACAGTCACTCGTAAAGTGTGTTATCACTGGGGGAAAAACAGATGCCAATGGAATAACTTCATCAAAGTCAAGAACTGCGTTGGATACTATGTGTTCTACCTACGCCCGACCCCAGTATGTCATCTTCGTTACTGTGGCAACGCATAAACAAACAGTAAGTGCTATACTGATACTTGTATAGTGCAGTTCGTTTAATAGCGAATCTAGAAAGGGAGGCGGCCATAAAACTTAGACCCCTTAGTCACATAGGTTGAGAAACTCTTTTTTCAAGATTTGGAACAATAGATTTCGACTTAATTGTTTGGCTAATTGATGGTTTTCATGGCGGCCATGTTGGAGGAACTTAACAAAAGAATTGTCAATTAATTATTTTGTTTTATCCTCCAACATGGCCGCCGTGTCTTTTGTTATCTAGTTCTTTTGGGAATGATTGAAAACCATCAATAGAGAGTGGCCGTGCATAAAGCATATATCTGTGGGAAATGTATACACTATTTATAACACATTAAGTGATTTCTCTTCACAGAACCACGTGAACTGGATCGTCCCTGGAGTTTGACAATGGAATGAAAACCTTGCACCTCCAACCCTCATAAGAATAACCCTATTTCCAAGAACATTTGATATCCTTCCCTACTCTCAAGTTCAAATTAAAGATTTATATTCATACTCGTGTGTTATTTTAATGGAAGGACTTTGTGGTCAAAGATCGATCCCCGTATGAGTTGGACTGGCTGTAGTTTATATAATTGGGGGAAGTAAGATTTCCGATAACATTTGGACTGTTTGGGCTTGGCACAATGTGTGTACATTTTTATTTATTTATCCATTTTTATTTCATTAATTAAATTCCCCGCATTTTCCCGCTTTTCGAATTTCAAAAAAAAAAAAAAAAAAAAATGGACATCTTTCTCGGCATCGTGTCTACAAAATCTTCTCTAAAACACAGGTGCAAATTACTAGGGTAGTCTATATCTCAATAACTCCTTGGTCAAACAGTTTGCTAGCTAGTCTGATTGGTTGGTGGGTGTGACGTCATTTTGTAAAAAATACAGAACTTTTTTCTCATAAAGAACGCTTTCTATTTTGAAATTGCCCTATTTCACTATGACGTCACTGCTTGTTTATGTGGGAGATAGAATCGCCAAATCCAATAGAAAATTCAACAAAATTTGATCCTAGCGAAACCAATAGAAAATTCAACAAAATTTGCTCCTAGCGAAATAGTTTAATCTAAAATGGCCTGGTTTTCAGATATAATATGTGTTAATATATACTGAAAAATATTCTGAGAGTTTGCTGGCTATTCTACTTCTCTTCGTGGATTGATACGGGTTTTAGAACAATTTTCGGTGAATTTGCGTTGATTTGACCCCGTCCGACGACCATGATCCTTTGCGTTTAAACAATAGATTGTTTTGATGTGACGTCATAGTGAAATAGTACAATTGGAAGTATATTATCAGGAAAAAATTTTTGAAAAGGTTTTAGATATGACATTGGTAACCCAGCACAAAATCTTTCAATAAAGGAAATCCAAATTTATTTGCCATCCAGTAACAATCACGTGTCAATCTATTGCAAAAGGCCTATTCTGGCTAAAAATTACATTATGGACAACTTAACTAGAAAAAAAAATCTTCGGTTCGAAAATATATGTTTTCAAAAACGAGACATCAGTAACAAAATCTCAACTCGTTGTGATCTAGAAATTACTTGAATACTCGAAAAAGCGCACAGTTTTGTCTTTATTCGAAAAAATTCACCAAAATATTAGATTTGGGGCCTGAAAAACATTCTTATGTCTGCTTTAGTCTTGATTTCAAATCTACAGAATATTTATCAAGGTAAAAGATATAAGGTACTTTAGATTGGAAGTCACGACAATATTTTAGCGAAACTACAACATGATTGACAAGTTGAGAAAGTCCATCCGTTACACTGTTGTTCAACATACACAAATGAAACAAACAATATAAACGATGTGTTAATAGCGCAGCGCGTTGATTCTAAAATTAGCTTAAAGATTCGGACAAACATTGCATTCTGTTTAACCGCTACGAGGATTATACGAACCGATTTTATTACTTTTACTTAAAGTTACAATAATAACCCATGTAAACTAAGATCAACTGCGATCGGCTGTGAAAATTATCTGCTGAAAGTAAACTTGTAAGTTTGTTTGTCCGAATTTCGCCTTTGTCTTCGTTTTTATGACGTCTCGGTTGCGCTGTGCTATTGACGGTTTCAACACTTTTTTGTTACGAAGATGGAAAAAACAACAAGCATTATTGCTATTTTATGAAAATAATTATTTTTAAATGTTTAATTTACTTTAAGGGATACATCTTAAAGCACAAAGCAAGTGGTACGTGATTGGCTTCGTTGATTTCAGTTACTTCAGAAACGTTTATATATATTTTTTGATACTTCATTCTTTAAAAGTTAAAGAATAAGCAGTTTTCCAGCGCTCGTTTTTGGTTTTTTACTTGTATGATAAAAGTGAAACTTTCCTCAATAAATTTAAGCAAAAATTAAAGATTTCTACCATAGTGGAATCTGAAGGTTTGAAAGCAAATAGCGACAAAAAAAAAAATTATTTAAATGTCATAAATTATTAATGTTCTCAAACTCTTTCCTATTGATCTTGGAAGTCTTTACAACTTTCTTCAGAGTAGATGCCAAAACAGAACGTCTTTTTAGTCTTGAATTTAGAAGTTATGAATAGTCTTTGCGAGTATTCCATCTTATTTGAAGGTTTGACGATGTCAATTTTTAGACCACGACGACGAATTGGGACGAAATCAATTGGGACGAAAGTTCTGTTTTTTTCGCCAGTCACAAAATTTGTATGTCTCAAGTCTTATGAAATGTATATGTTTATATTGTAACAAATAAACTGAACGAAACTAAACTAAGTTAAACATGGCTTTGTATGATGCACATGTTATTTTCTTAAGCCTTTTCTCGATGACATAAACTACAAAATGTTCAACAAACGGTTTTGTGTGATGGATAGTTTAGATTGTAGCTTTCTGATAAAGTAATTTGAAATCAATTAAAGGAAATTGTAAAACAGCGCCTCAAAAAAATTAATTAAATATGATGTTTGATTGATGTTTGATTGATTTGATTTGATGCCAGTGTCATGTGATGGTACATCTCAACATCGCTCGCAAAAAATGTAAGACTATTATTTATTATTATTTTTAAAGGATTTTAAATATTTTAATGATTTTCTTTTCCTAGAAGTGAACAGTCCATCTACCAAAGGAGACACAAGGCTGCTTTGTAAATAGTTACGTAATTCAGTTAGCGCATGTTCTGCCATTTGATTTTATTAGTATATAAACATCTATCTATCTAATTGTTGCAAAGTCAACCCATATAAATGACACACCACTATTATGAATACAATAATCTTTAATTTGAACTCAACGCAGGGGAAAGTATTCTTAAATGCTATTATAAAAAGCTTATTCTCGTGAGGGATGGGGGCGAAAGATTTTCATTCCTAGTCCGTTTATCTGATTCTTGTGTGTATCCTCAAGTCGTTCCATTGTCGAACTCCAAGGACAATCCTGTTCACGTGTGTCTGTGAAGAAAAATCATGCAATTATATGTGGTTAAATGTAATTTAGGCTAAGTTAGACTCGAGGTCAATGACATCTCGCAGTAGCGTTGTCCGGACGCATACCGCTATCTCCGCTGTCAACGCATTTATTACCTCACGCGATCGTTGATCGACTCAGCTAGCAAGTTGTTTATAGCATGTCGCAATCTATTCTA